AAAAAAAAAAAAAATCATTATAGGAGCTTCCAGGTTGCTAAACACATGGAGGTGCCTGGAGTGTAGCAGGGCATTGAAACTCTGTGTCCCTTCCCACATACCTAGTTCTATGCATCTCTTCATCCGTATCCTTTGTAATAAACCAGTAAACAGTTTTAAAAAATGAAAAAATAACTTCTAAAATATAATTTATCTTTTAACTAAAAACTAGCCATTACTCATGTGGACAGTGCCTTAGTCTGAAAACAAAAGTACTTACCAAAAAAGTTTTTCTCTTAAATATTTAGACCAAGCCATTTTTATACAGAGTACTTCAAAGAACTACCAAAACCATTTTGTTGTGTTAAGAATTCTGTATAGTAATTTCTACTCCTTATGAGTTTAGGGTCTGGAAATTTGTTACATTTATAGCTATTTTTGTTGAGTTTACAACAAAATTTGATCTATGTGACAAAGTGATGTTTTATATTACATTCACCTTTTCTAGGAGTAGCATTTTTACTGATGGATGCTAAAGAATGCTTTATGTCAGCTGAAGAATTATTCCTAGCCAAAATTGAGAAGTTTATTAACATTCACCGAAATAGTTTTTTGGTTCTGTCTGCTGCCCTCCATGGGCCCAAAGAATGGAAACTGATGTTCAGGATTCAGCAGAGGTATGGAAGAACAGCACTATTGACTTATTTTTCTTATATTGTGTTTACTTCAGTTCTTATTTCTTTTAGGCAGATGAATTTTATTTTGCTAGAAGATAAAATTGATGTTAACATGTCATACTGATATTTAATGAAACACAGGTCAAATAGCTGTGCTATGAATTGAGGTGACAGGTTTCAGAGTTCATTCTGATTTATGGGCCTCTCCTGCAAGACCAAACCAAAAGGGAACACTTGTTAGTTAAGTGCTGGCTATAAAGCCACCTCAGATTTTCTGTGGAATGAAGTAGGGCATCCATACTTAAACAAATAACAAACAGTAGAGGCTTGTCTCTTCTTTCCGCCTATTTAAGAGAACAAGTGTCAGTAAGTTGTATGATCTATATAACTTATGAATTGTTTTTCAGATTCCTGGGTAGTAACTTACGAATACTTCCAGTACACAATGCAGTAAATGCTATTAATCTTATGTGCACTATAGCTAAGGTGAGTCATCTGTGGAAAATGACACATACATACATACATATTCATACATTTTAAGGTTTTTGACTTCAAATCGCCACTCTTTTGAGCAGGATTGGCAAATACTCTACTTCTTTTCCCCGCAGAGAAGTTGATATTTCAGCATGCAACTCTTCTTTCCTAAGCCTGAACTCAGCCTCACAAGTCTTCTCAATTTATTTCCAGTAGCCGCTAAAATTTATGACTCATTTGGGGCCACGGGAGCATTTGGCTGACCCTATTGATAACTGATGTCTTCCTTCGAATTATAAAGTATAAATATTGATAACTGATGTCTTCCTTCAAATTATAAAATATAAATATTGGTCACATTGCCATCATGAACTGTCAGAGTGCAAACATACCATTTTACAGAATCCTCTCCACCAGTTGTCCACTTTCTTTTCATGCTTGTCCTCCTCTGCAGAGTATGCTGACACCCTCAAACCCTCTAGGCAGAATTAGGTGTTTCTTATGCTCATACTTGGAACGTATCTCCATTGAAGTAATTCTTATAATATTCTTTTTGATTTACACATTTGAAATTCCTTGTAGAGATCAAGTGTTTTCTTCTTTATTACTCTAATAATTCATACACAGTACTTAGTGCATAGGTGTTCAAGAGATATTTGCTGAATGAAGTTAGGTATTTTTTGATGTGACCCTGTAAACATACCTTATTTCTGTAAATAATGCTGCATGTTTATATCTTCTTCCAGACTACCTCCAAACCATACATAGATAGCATCTGCTACAGAATGATAACAACTAAAGCTTACATCATTGAGCAAAGTCCTGTTTGGAAAACACTTCAAAAGATAAAGCTGAGTACTGATTCAGTTAACCCAAATTAGAGTATCAATTATAAATGTTCTTTTGGAGTAATGTTAAAATAATTAGACCTGTTAAATTATAATGTTCAAATATATATTTAAAGATGTTTATATTAATTTAAAATAATAACATGTATACAATTAAAACTGATTTTATTTTAGGAGTTGAGTGATTTTTTTAATAATATTTAGAAAAGAACTGGTACATACAAAACTCAGATGCAGTTTCTTAATGAGTTGAATGGACAGATATTTAATAGGAAATAAAAATACAGAAGTTTCTATTTAGCTCTTTAGGTTTTCCACAAGAGTAGCCAGTATTTCTAAAATTAATCTTTGCAGATGCTTTCACATTATAACTTCTGTTGGTGATAGGACTCTGCTCCCTAAGATTCCTCCTGAAGCAAGAAAGAGAGGGAAGCTAAGAGAAGCAGTCAACTGGCTTGAAGTCAAAACTCCTTTCTACACTTTTGTAGTGTTGCAGACTACAACTTGACACTAGGAGTTCTAAAATGTCACATAGCATCTCACTGGAGCAGAAAGTGTGTAAGTATTTTTATAGACTCACTACAACTGTATGAATGAAGTATATTATATGAAATTATAAAATTATTAGTTTGTACTGGACTTTCAAAAGTAGTATTGAGAACATAAGTGTATAGGCATTATTTACCATGCAGATAACTTTTTAAAACCAAAGAATACTCCTGTTCCATAACACATCATTATAAAAATTGATAAATGAGAAAAGCTACATTTATTTTTCTAGCAATAAATTTTTACAGAAAATTTTTTATAGAAGTATTAAATAAATCATAATGGAAAATACAGTATTAGTTTTTATTTAGGCAGTAGAATTTTCACTTTATCTCAATATTTTCTTCGGAGGTAGACTTTGTTTTTATTTCAATGAGTTCTTCTACTCGAGCCAGAACACTTTCAATCAGATCAAATGTGAAAAGAGCTGAATGTAGGACCTGCAATGCCAAGAAAAATTAATGTTGTTAATACTGTCTTTTTTTTAAAAAAAAAAAAAAGCAAAACATAGAAAAGACTTCAGCTGGAGATAGCTTAGGAAAATTTCAGATCACCTTAAGCTGCATTTCAGGAGGCATATTAGGGAGATCTTCTCCACCTACTGTTATAGAACAAAGATCTTTAGTCTTCTGGACTTCTGTAAGAGAAGGAAAAAAAATCATGTGTCACACTTAGCCATTAAAACAACTCTCAGATTTCAATAATAAATTTATAAGCTACTTTCATCATTTGCTAACTTATAAAATGTGTCAGTTATTTGTGTAAGTTATTGAGTCCACAGCTCACGGTATACTTAAACTATAAGCAAATAAAATTAAATGTCAAAATTCCGCAGCATGTGAATTAATGCTACTTTAGATAAATCGTATTATTTTGGCATGTACAGGATACATGAAACTTTTTCCTTCAGTATATAGTAACAATTATAGCCATAACATTAAAAAAGACAAAATTTCTAGTAATGGCTATAAAAATACCACCACAGATATATGAAAGAGATAACAAGATTATTATAGAAGATTTGCTGGCTTGAAACAAAGTAATTCTGGATCTAACATTATTTTTCTTAACTTTTACAGATTTACTTGGGGGTGAGATGGAGGGTGGACTCAGCAATACCAAAGGAATGGTACCCAAATAGAAATACCTGTAATACAATCAGATTCTTAGACCTTGAGGCTTTAAAACAGAATATGCTTGTTTGGTTTAAATCTTCATTAACCCAATTTCAGTGGCTTATAGATCTGCTAAGAATCATTTTAATTATAAATAACATGACTTAGATGTCATAGTTCCTTGTTTAGCATAAATTAAACAAGTACAAGATAAAAAATGTTCTTTTACTTGAAGATACGTATGTCAATTCCAAAATTTGACTAATTTTTAGGCCTAACTGAAAACAAAATTGCACATTACCAACCTTGGCTATTTTCTTGGCTATTCTTAATTTCTGCTTCGTAATGTGCTTTTGACATATTAAGTCCTGTATGGAGAGGCTTTAAGAAATTATTTTCAATCTTTCCAAGTTCTGTCCATAATCCAGTCTGTTCAGAAGAATTAGTGAAAGAATTATTTATTTGGTTCAACATTTATTGATTGCCTACTATCACTAAACATGCATTATGAGCTAGAAAAACGAATGAAACATGGCCCTTGCTTTTCACGAGTTTACTGTTTAGTAATACATCTAGTTATGTGAATACCAGTCAAAACAAAAGTGTACTCAGGGCACTGTGCTCATTATTATACTATTTGGATAGCTCCTGGTTTTGAGATCTGTAACTTGCAAGTTTTATCTATGGAAATTTATTTGAGGATAATGCAAACAGTCTGAGACATTTCTCTTCCCCTATAAACCATCCCCATAATGACTTTATCTTTTATATACCTTTAATCCTTGACCTTTCAGTTGATATCCTGGCCACAGATCTAGTTCTACAGAATTCTTTCCTTTCCCTATTGATGGAAACTTTTCTAACACAAAGGTAATTTGGACTTCCTTGGTGACCAATGTATAGGAAGATTTTATCTGCTTAGGGTTATTTTGTCATATATCTTAAAGGTTTTTCTTCAGGGAGGAAGGGAGAGAGGGAAGAAGGAGGAAGGTCCATTGGTATTAAGTTTCCAGGTATTCTTTATGAAGGAAAATTTCTTAGGTAAAAAAAGGGAAACTTAGGAACCCCATTACCCTTAACTAGAACAATGAAATGGACCACTTAAAAACCTATTTTGTAATGAACTTATTTTGATCCAAGTAGTATATAAGGTTTTATGTATAGTCCTCCAAATAAAATCTACACATACCTATTTTGAATAATTGATAACATTAATGACTGTTACACATATCCTTTTCATTTCAATCTGTCCTTCCTCTTTTCTCCTATACTGATAGGAAAAGTAGAATTCTAGAGAGGATCTAAAACCTCAAAAATATGCATACCCTTTCACTCATCATCTATGAACTTATTTTGGGGAAATAAATAATCATTATGTTGTAATGATTCTATTGTGGATGTTTTAAAAAATGTTTAGTGCTGATCAACACATAAATGCACATATAAGAATAACATCTATTGGATGTTGGGCAGGGGGGAGGGGGGAGG